TGGGTTCAGCTCCTCCCATGGTTCCTTTCCAGTCACCAGTTCATAGAGGATGACGCCGAAGCTAAATACCTGAGAAAGGAAGCATGCGTGGACGCAGCAGTAGCCATGTACTTGGTCCCAAACAGGGGACAATGGGTCGGGGCGCCGCAGCTGCCCATCGAACCGTAAAGAGGCATAAGCACAGAGCCACTCGCTCCTGGGCGCAAATGCAACCATAAGCAGATGCCGCAGGTGTATTGGATACTAAACAGCCCCTAAATCTGAACAAGCAGGCCCAAGCCCGTCACTCACGTCGCTCTTCTCATCGCAAGGCTCTCCCTTGAGGGTCTCTGGGGCCATCCAGGCAGGCGATCTGCGTATAAGCAAAAGTCCAGGTCACCTGCCATACCCCTGCATGGCATCGGGATTGAGAACCGGTATTGTCGTACCGTTACCGTGGCTCACCCGTTCTGCGTCGCGGCCGTTAGGTAGGTATTGTTCTTGAACCGCGACAGGCCAAAATCGCAAACCTTGACGGTCCAGTCCTTGTCCACCAGCAGGTTAGGAGACTTCAGGTCGCGATGAACTAACACCGGCTTGCAGTTATGTAGGTACTCCATGCCTACGACGCAGCGGCAACGGCACAACGGGTTCCAAAATATAAGGCAACATCAATGCTATGATATGGCGAAGCCCACGCTTGAGTAAACGGGCTTACTCGTAAATCCTATCCGCACTCCTTGTCCTTCAAAACGTAGCTTGCCCCCATGCCTGCTCCCACACACTCTCAATGGCGCGCTCACCTTTGGCAATATCCAGCGCCATGTTGAGGCGGCGGCGCGGGTCCAGCACCACCTCCTTGTTGCGGTGTAGCATTCGAAACAAAGAGCCACGTGTCATATACTGCGTCACAATGGCCAGCTGGTTCTTCTGCGTCACAGCGCCCAGGAACAGCACAATATTGGGGTGGCGCAGCTTGCTCATAATAAGAACCTCGTCTCGGAACTCCCGGATGGTGACGGGTGAGAGGTTTTGGTCATGAAAGTGCTTGATGGCCACATTGGTGCCTCGCCATGTGCCGCGGTAGACCTCGCCGAAGGACCCCATGCCGATGCGCTGCCCGAAGGTCAAGTCCTCCGGGTTGATCTCCAGGTCGCGGTGCGAAGGCGGAAGGGGCATGGAGGCCGAGAGCGAGGGCTGCTGTCCGAGGGGCGACGGCAGCCCAGCTTCAGCGGTGGCATCCGAATCGCCGGCGCCGGACACGCGCGACCTCTCCATGCGGCGCGCCGATGGCACGGTCATCTCGTGCGCAAGGTCTAATGCACCTTGCGACCCTTGCGGCGGCTTTTGCTGTTGTTGCTGCTGTCGCATTCTGGGCGGCTGCGTCTGCGGTAATTGCGGTTGTATGCTAGGAGGTAGCGCCAGCTGCGGACTGCCAGAGGCGATTGGCGGCCGTGCAGCGATCGCACCCGGGCCCCCTGTCTGTGTAGCAAGGGCAGTGCCGGACTCAAGCAGATTCGCCGCCGCAACCGTCGAGGATCCGCCAACGGGCATCCCTATGCCTGACAGCGCCAAGGCTCCACCCGGCTGCGGCTGCGCTGCCATCCCTGCGGCGGCAGCCAAGATAGCCTGCTGATGTTGTCGTTGCTGATGATGCAAGTATGCCGCCTGAAGCATATACTGGCTCGATTGCTGAGCTGCCGTCCAGCTGCTTTCCCATGCCGGATTGAACACATGTCGCCAGCCCTGCATGCCTGGCGCTCCGGCGGGGGCGGGACCATGCATGAAGCCTGCCGCCTGAGGCATCATGGCAGCCGCTGCTGCGGCCATAGCCGCAGACGGCTGCATGTACATGTAGGGGTTGCCCTGCATCGCAGCGGCAGCGTAGTACGACATAGCCACGTGGTGGGGAAGCTGCTGGCCAAGGTGGCCGCCGACCGCCGCAGGCCCCATCATCGGCATTGACCCAAAGCCCTGCTGTATCTGAATCTGTTGCTGTTGCGCGGTACCTGGCCGGCCTCCAGAAGGGTCTGGCCTGCCGCCGCCTTGTCCCCCGAGCTGTATTCGCGATAGGTCCAGGGCCACGCCGTCCGCGCCACCACAGCCGCTGCCAACGCCGCCTGTTGTATCGGTTATGTTGGTGATGGAGACGCGGGGCGTGGTCTCCCTACTGTTGTCGCTACTGGGCGTTTCCACAATAGGTTGCGAGCTCGGGCCTGGTGCGCTTTGTCGAGCGGGCGTCGCATCTCGCGTTTCACCGCCAGGACCCAATGAGACGCGAAAGGGAGATAGGTCGGCGAAGAACGACTGTGCTCGGTCCCGTTCCCGGTCGCGCTCAAGCTCACGTTCGCGATCCCGCTCCCGACCCCTTTCCCAGTCTCGCTGTTCCCGTTCCCGCTGGTCACGCTCTCGTTCAGTCTTCTCAGCCTTGCGGTCGCTGCCACAGCCCGATGTGGCCTCCCCAACATTAAAGGGAGATAGGTCAGCGAATGGGACGCTAGGCCCGGGCGCTGAGCCCGGTGGTGTGGACTGTGCAGATGAGGCCGTTGGTGCTGTGAAGGGAGTCGACAGCGCCGGCGACGGAGCCTTGCTACCCGCGTTGCCAATACCGTCCGCGGATTTCGGTGGCGTCGCGTAATAGGCGGTGCCGCCAATGGTGGCCGCGGCGCCATTGCCGAGTCCGTACATCCTATGTGCCGAGTCATGGCTGACGCCAACATACTGTCGGACTGCACTCCCGGCTGCTGGCTGCTACTGGTGTGCCGGCTGCTGCTGCGATGGCGCCTGAGGCTGACCCGCATGAGGGAGGCTCCCCATGCGCGGTAACGGTAGGTTTGCACCGGTCGTGCTGGTGCCTGCATTGCCTGCACCCGCCAGTACCTGCGGTGGCCGTTGTGCCGCTTGCTGCTGTTGTTGCTGCTGGGTCGGCTGCTGGACGTGGGTTATTGTCCCGGGCTGCGGGGTTGGCGGCACGGCCCCAAAGGCAGACACAAGTGACGCCGGCGGCATATGGGATGCAAAGCCCATCTGCATCGCGTGGAATGGCGACGCTAACGCCAGGGAGGACCGCGCCTGTTGCTGCGGCGGCTGCGGCAGTGCAGATTGTATCGACAGCTGTTGCTGTTGCGAGGCCAGGGCTTGCGGCCCAGACCGCTGCTGCGGCGGGATGATGGTTTTCGACGGGCTTCCCTCGCTGCTACCGTGCGGGATACGCGCGCTGAGGTGACTGCCGCTAGCGCCGGCGCTGCCCGCTGTCCCTGAGCCACCGGCGCTGCAGCCGGTGTCACTGCAGGCGGTCGCTGATAAGTCCGACGGCAGCTGAAAGTTGGCGAAGGCCGACGCGTTTGTTGCAGTCGAGTATCTGGAGGCCCCCTGTGCGACAGGCGGAACCGAGGTACTGCCCATTTGACCCAGACTCCCAGCGCTACTCGCTCGGGCCGCGTTGCTCGAACTGACGCTGTCGTCCAGCTTTGTGCCGTCCGGCGACGGCTCCGCTGGCCCCAGGATAGGAAAGCTGGATACCATCTCTAATGGTTGCAGGCCACCCGCAGTCTGCGAGCCGCTGAAGCTGCCGGGCTGCGCGGCCGGTGCGCCAGCAGCGCATCCCCCAGACGACTGGCTCAGAGGGCTCAGCCCCGGTCCACCAGTGTGCGTCCGGGAATCATCCTTAGACCGAGTAAAACTGCCGGAAAATTTCACCCAGCCATTCTGGTCGAAGGAGTTTTGGCGGCGGCCCGGGACAACCGGGGGGCCTCGTGGTCCGGGAGCGGAGGTTCCCGTGGGTGTGCCAGAGCGTTCCGGCGGCGGTACAGAGTCGTGCAGAGAGTCGGGCAGCGGCTCTGAATCCAGGCGGATAAGATCGCATCCAGCCCCCGAACCAGACGGCATGCAATCCCCACCTCGTTGTACCGTTACCGCCAAGTCCAACATAGATTTTGCTTTCCCAGGTAAGGAGCTCAACGAATGGCGGCCAGAATGTGGCGCTGCAATTTGCGCGCCACCAGCAGCAGCCGCCGCCCCATGAGGCGGAGCTGGGAAGGGCGGCACGGCCAGCGGCGCCTGACGCGAATCCCCACGGCCGCCCTGCGGCTGTGGGTTTTCCGTTTTCGGAAGATCAGTAATCGTAAACCTTACGCGGCTGCCTGCAATCGCAGGCCCGGGACCGCTGCCATGCGCGTGCGCAGGGCCTGGCACCCAGGCGCCGCTCTGGACATGCAAACCCATGCCCGGAGCCGGTAAGGAGCTGCTATACACGGCCGGTGCCGGCATCGGCACCGGCGGCACCAGCATCTGCGTCCGGGACGGTGCTCCCCGTGGACTGCTGTGAGGCACCGGAGCCGCATCTGCCGCTGCTGACACGAAAGCCGGCAGGGATGCGCCAAGGTTGTTGGTGCCACACACAGCAGATTGACCGCCGGAACCCGAGCATGCAACGCCGCTGCTGACGGGACCTAGCTGTGCACTACTGCTGCTGCTGCTAACGCCAGTAGACTTCATAGAGCCCACAGTTCCCACGGCCGGAGGCGCGCCAGTGGCGCTGCTGGCGCTGGCTGCCGAAGCCTCCACTGCCGAGGCGTTGCCAGCGGCGGCGCTGGTCGTATCATGCGCCGGGTGGTGCCAGGCGTCCAGCCCTGCGTCTTCAGAACAACACAAAAAGGCCGTGGCGGGTAGGGGGGATGTGTAGTAACTTGGCATACGAGCTTGAAAGGGCGCACCTTGCATCTAATTCAGTACGCCCAACCAGAATGTAGCCTGCTGGGAAACTGGGTCGGTTGGGTCTACCATCAATTCATCTAGCCCCATCACTAACTAGTCAGGTTGACACGATTCTGCAACCTTCCAACCCCAGCCTGCGCCGCAAATCACATACGGCCGGCCGATGTTATTTCAAGGTTTTCATGGTTTTCAAGGGCTTTCTTTCTGTGCACGTCACTAGTTATCCTCTCCTATGCCCAATATTACAGTCGACCCTCTCTCAGGCAGCAGCTCAGCCAGCAATCTGCCCACATGCCCTGCGACAGTCAGCGACCAGTTAGGTTATTCACGTACCCACTTACCGCCTTCAGCAGCGCCTTGGAGTTCCTTACGGTGGAGCACGCCACCAGCTGCACACCGGGAATGGACTGGAAGTACGACTCGAGGCGCTGCGAGTGCTCGGCACCCAGCTGGCGGCCCACACCGCCCGGGCCGCGGATGACCATGGGCACCTTGAACTGACCACCGCTGGTGTAGTGCAGCATGCCGCAGTTGTTGGAGATCTGGTTGAAGGCGAGCAGCAGGAAGCCCATGTTCATGCCCTCCACAATAGGGCGCAGCCAGGTCATTGCGCCGCCCACGCCCATGCCCATGAAGCCGTTCTCTGCCGGAAAAGGATGCGCATTAGTATTGTTCAGCAATGATAGGGGGGAGCATGACCGACAAGGTGATGGCGGGCACTCAAGCATGTGCATGTACGACGGATGTATTAGTGTAGGACCGGCATATGCTTACATGACCTCTTAAGGATGTATCGGTGCCGGATGTGTGTAGGGAGCAAATTTCTATATATTAAACCATCCAGTGCAAGGTCCCCAGAGGTAAGGGGGATGCGGGCTGGCAGTGGTTTCCTGTCGCCATGCAAGCGTTACAAAGCCCAGCACACCTGGCGTCCGAGGATTGGTATGGCATGGTCAGGTAGATAATGAAATGAGGATGATTGTGCTTACATTGCTTACATGAGATAAACTAATGGCAGGACCGAATTAAACTAATGGCCTTGTAGTTTGGTCACCCCTGTTCCAAGGCGTTAAACTCGGTGAACTTACCGCAAATAGGCGTATCCAGCACACGCATATCACCATATTTTTTGTACAGGCCATAGGTGCACTTGTAGCTTCCGCCGTAGTGACCCACGTCCTCGCCTATGACATAGCAGGCATAAGATCTTTTCCGCGTCAGCAAAGACAAGAAGTAGCTTGGCGTCGTTTGCATGTCCAAATCGTAAGGAAAAACGTGTTGCAAGTAAAGACGTTCATTGGTCATGTACCACGCAACACAACCAACGCGCGCAATGCGGACCGCAACGCTCACCCATCACGCAAACGGTGGGATCGCGCTCCATCTCCTCATCAATGGCTTCGCGAAGGGCCTCCCACATCATAATTTCCTTCTTCTGAGCCTTCGCCGCGGTCAGGGCGCGCCGCCCAGCGCGAGCTGCAAAACAGCGAAACGCGTAAAGCTGTATGACATTTCTAGGTTGATATTTTTATTCTTTCTACTTCAAGTTCAGATAACGTACCTGACAGGATTACACGCTGGCCAGGTGCAGCGGCAACCCGAGGACCCGCAGCGGCGCGAACATTGCGAGAAGCGAGCATTTTTGATATCCTGCTGACTAGCGGCTACACAACGCACAGCGGACTGCAGGGGCAATACCACTTCTTGTGATAACGAAAACATGTTTGGAGAAGAGCTTTATGTACGGCTGTACGGATGAAACGCTCACAATTGCCCACTGTCAATAAGAGGAGTTCTGACACACCTTGTAAAATACATGGTTTTCGCTGAAAATATATTTCAAGCACAAACGAGAAGTATGTGTCCGTAATGATAAGGCGGTTCCTCAACGGAAAGCGACATATTATGTTGCTTCCTGCAAGGCAACGGTGGTGGCTTGCACGATGGTACTGGATATCTCATGCGATAAAGCACGTTAGCTTAGCAAAACCTAAGATTGAAATACCGGTGCCGTACTTGGACCAGCTTGGGCCCGCCTTATGGCGCTTGCTACGGCAGCCAGCGCAATCCAACCGCTTCCCCCTTTCTTCGAAGGAGCGTGGCATGGGTTGGGAAGCGTGAAGCCGTGCCATTGGCATCTGGTGGTGTGCCGCACCACACGCACCCAGCACCAATCGGGATAACGGTATCTGCCACAAGCGACAGAACTTCAGAACAGCAAGGCCGATCATTATGGCAGGGGCCCACAAGTAGTGATACAGGTGCTGAATATTTTTTGGGGGCTCGCCTATACAGCTTATAGGTTCAAGTTTACATCCGCATATGAGAAGTTCCCGTGAAATACATAAACAAGTGTCATGATGCAAGCTCCTGGCCCTGAGCACGCTACAGCATGCATACCCCAGCGGAGCAACATGACCAAAACCTAAGTAATCCAACGCAACTTAAGACTCTGCTGCAAGCAAACAAGAGCGATGAGTCATCACCTGCGATATCCAAGCCTGCCTTGGGAGGCACATCCATTTCTGCATAGTCGATAGGCCCCGCACAACAAACGAGAGCCTCCACGGACCGCGTGGAGGAGTAGTTTTTTGTGCGGGGCCTATCGACTATGCAGAAATGGATGTGCCTCCCAAGGCAGGCTTGGATATCGCAGGTGATGACTCATCGCTCTTGTTTGCTTGCAGCAGAGTCTTAAGTTGCGTTGGATTACTTAGGTTTTGGTCATGTTGCTCCGCTGGGGTATGCATGCTGTAGCGTGCTCAGGGCCAGGAGCTTGCATCATGACACTTGTTTATGTATTTCACGGGAACTTCTCATATGCGGATGTAAACTTGAACCTATAAGCTGTATAGGCGAGCCCCCAAAAAATATTCAGCACCTGTATCACTACTTGTGGGCCCCTGCCATAATGATCGGCCTTGCTGTTCTGAAGTTCTGTCGCTTGTGGCAGATACCGTTATCCCGATTGGTGCTGGGTGCGTGTGGTGCGGCACACCACCAGATGCCAATGGCACGGCTTCACGCTTCCCAACCCATGCCACGCTCCTTCGAAGAAAGGGGGAAGCGGTTGGATTGCGCTGGCTGCCGTAGCAAGCGCCATAAGGCGGGCCCAAGCTGGTCCAAGTACGGCACCGGTATTTCAATCTTAGGTTTTGCTAAGCTAACGTGCTTTATCGCATGAGATATCCAGTACCATCGTGCAAGCCACCACCGTTGCCTTGCAGGAAGCAACATAATA